AAAAAAAGATGTTCTTTCTTCATCCGTCTATGTAAAACCTACAGATTGCAGAATGCTTCTTCATGCTCAAAATTTGCATTCCTCTTGGCTTAATTTTTTTTACCTGTAAGTCAGACAATAATACACAATTAAATGTGCCAAAGAATGAGACAGTGTTCAAAATACTTTGCCTAGTTTTTTTTCCCACAGTTGTCTTCTGTTTTGTATTTGTTTTTGTTGTGATTGGGGAGGCTCCAGGTGCTTTGTGGATTGACTGGAATGCTGGGCGCCTGCTGGGAGAGCTGTGACTCCACCCTGACTGTGCATTTTCTTATACATTAATCAGATGTGGTGTCACTTGTGTCAATTATTAGACACATCTGGTGCTCCTCTGTCAGTTTGACCCTTGAGTGTCACTGGCCTACGGCCACATGACCATGTACCTAACCCACTTATGTGCATGTTTTTTATTGGCTTTTACTGTATGTGACTGGGGGTTTTTGTATTATTAATAGGTTGCTGCTGTGTACATTTAACAGACCTTGATGAAGGCTTTATGCTGAATGGCGTTTGTCTTCTTATTATAGTTGCTCAGAACACTAAAAGTGTTGCTGGGATTTTTGCTTTCTAATTAGTTTTTTCTTGTCTGTGCATAAAACCTTGTGCTGTAGCTTAGCGTACCCCATCCTATCATATTTTTGAATCTTCTGCAGAACAGAGAGAAGACCGAACCATGGTGGAAGATGCCGTCTGTTCACACCAGAACAGGAGATTGTGACTCTGAATATGGTTGTGGCAAAGAATACCATTATACTATGGGAAATCCTGAACTTCAACATCACTACAGGCAACACAATATTCAATAACATTCACCAGGTGAGCTTGTCTACATTGGACCATGTATTACAGCACCACCAAATCTGGATGAAACAGGGCTACGTCGTGCCTTTTGAGTTAAACTCAGACAGGGTTAAAGAACAGCATTATAAACATGTTCAAATAAGCACTATACTGTGAACTTACTATCATATCAGCACTGTATAGACATTTTACAGTACTGTAATCCAGTGTATTGTGTTTCACCATGTTGATTGCTCAAGGTTTCATGTTGTTTGTTTCAGAGGGTCTAGGAGATTGAAGCTGCTGGAATTCAACACGTTTATATGTTTATTGATGAGGCTGGCTTTAACCTTACCAAAAGAAAGGGAAGGGAACGTTACATTATTGACCACCGTGTCATTGTGAAGGTAGTATCACCATGTGCACAGCCATTAGCCAACCTTGGTCCCTACAACACTGCCCTTCTCGTCACATTTTTGGACACACTACATAGACACACAAAGTGCAAAACACCTCAGACACCCTGCAGATCGAAGCTCTACATATAAAACTACAAAACTGCTTATAAGAACATATAAATATAAAAAACTTGGGCACCAAATACCAGACACTTCCTTCACATTAACTGACAGAGAAATAAACAGTTCTGTGGTAAATTCAAAACACATTTATTTTTGGTGGGGTTTTATCATAGGAGGATTCTGCAGGGAAAGACCACTGAAGTGCACAGATCTGTGCAAAATACAAACTTCAGCACAGAAACAAAGATTTGGTATTTTCCTTCACAGCAAATTAGTTCTACATATAGCACAATGGACATTACAGTTGTGAAAACAGAATATATCAATATTAAAAAAAAAAAACAGACGCTAGTGTGTACACAGAATTCTTCAACCTGTCTTTAGCCCAAGCAGTAGTCCCTCACATTTTCAAAAAACCCATTATCATACTGGTCCCTAAGACATCAGACACATCCACTCTGAATTGCTTCAGGCCAGTGGCGCTCACATCAGTGGCGCTCACATCAGTGCTTAGAGAAACTGGTCCTCACACACATTAACCACATGGTCCCGGACACTGTAGACCCCCTCCAGTTTGCCTACTGCCCCAACAGATCAGTGGATGATGCGACGGCTCTGGCTTTATTCCATACCCTGAAACACCTGGACAACAGCAGTATACTGTATATGCTAGGACGTTCCTTCTGGATTACAGTTCTGCATTCAACACCATTCACCCGGGTAGGCTGATTGGGAAGATGACAGACCTCGGTGTACCAACTCCCACCTGTAACTGGATTCAGGAAGAACCACTCCCCCCTGCTGCCTCTGACCATCAAGGGGACTGAGGTGGAGAGGGCTGACAGCCACAAGTTCCTCAGCCTGCAGGTGACATTAGACCTGAGCTGGTCATTGAACACTGCTACCACAGTGAAGAAAGCCCAGCAGTGGCTATACTTCATCAGGCGGCTCAGAAAAGCTGGGTTGAACCATTGCCCTCTCTCCCAGGCTTCTAGAGGACTGGTAGAGAGCATCCTCACTACTGGCATCACAGTCTGGTATGGTAACACCACACAGGCAGAGAGGAAGGCTCTTCAAAGAGTTATAAGGACTGCAGAGCGGACTGAACTGCCTGCTATGGACACACTATACACACAGCGCTGTCGTAAAAGGGCAGAGAACATAATCAGAGACCCACAGCACCCAGCTCACTCTCTGCTCAGACATAAAAACTGCACCTACAGCCTCAGGCACAGCAGGGCGGACAGTATCATCACACACAGAACAAGACTTTACAACAGCTTTTTCCCTGCCACAGTAAGACTGATGGCAAATACAAAAATGTGACAAATGTGAGAATATATGTGCAATAACCCCTCACTACCTCACCAAGCGTAATGACATATCCAACTCCACCATGTGAATTACTAAGTGCGATGTTTGAAGTTCACTGTGGGAAAATACTATTACCCTATTTTTGTGTAGTTATGTTTTAATACTTTGTCGCCCTTATGTAACCTTTTTTTTATTTTTAAGTGTTCTTTCTGGCTTTTGACTCCTTACCTGACTCCAACGAAGAGCTGAACAAGAATTCCTATATGCCTAGACTGTTTATGCATAAATGGCAAATAAAAATCTTGAATCCTTGAACATGTCACATACCCCAGTCTGGCCACAGCACCTCATTGACTTTGCATGCAGTTTTCTCTGTGACTAGTCTGCAACAGAGGAGTGTCATATTCAGGCCTTGGCAACCCCCACATCAATAGCATCATGCCTCTTCTGTTGCCTGTAAAAGAAGCCTCAGCTCTGCCTCCTCTCCCTATAGTTTGACCTCTACCTCCACCTGGTAGGACAACTTCCACTGTTGTTGTAAACAGCTACTCACTTGTGGTCTTTTTTTATAGAGCTAACATCTTGTTCAAATAATTAACAATTAAGCAATGAGATATTTTTCTTCCCTCATTGAGATATTTTCCCCTGTTCAAAACTTGGTTTCACATAGTGCCCCCCTCAGTGGTTGTGGTTAGGATGGGGTTAGGGAAACACATTGCAATGGGGAAACAGATTTTGACAACACCGGCAGCAGGAGTTGTGCGTGTTCATGAACTATCCTCTCATTTTCAGGAGAAGGCTCTTGGGTTTTATCATTCTGAAATAATTACAGACTATTTGGAGTTACAATGGGTGCAAAGCTAATCTAGAGGTACCCAAGATTAAACATTAAATGGCTGGAAATGAGCATGTCATGAGCTTTTTAAAGAAAGTTAAAAAGTCTTTTATATTGTAAACTACAAAATATGATATTCTCAATTAGGCTTCCAGTGCTAGAAACAATTGGTCTACCAGGTGGTTTCTGTAGATTTTAGTGAATTTTTTTGCAAAATGTATAAAAGGCTATTAAAGGAAACTTACTGAATAAAAATGAACTCTTTGAAAGAAATGTCACCATGAAGGACACTCTCCTCAAGTATCATTTTAGTTCCCCAAAATACTGCTTGGTGGGTCACATTTTAACTTAACTTAAAGAAACATCTTCTAATTGTCTGAGGACTTCATTGCCATAATCACACTTGTCCCTAATAACAATGGCTCCCCCTTTTGTCAGGTTCAATTTAATGACAATAACTTGATTTCCCTCAAGTTTAGACAGTGCTTCCTGTTGTCTCTTTGTCAAATTACTCTATGTGAAACTGTTCTTTTAAAGATGATTTTCAAATTCCAGTTATCCACGCCTACAATGAATGGTTTCTATTTCTAGTTGACAAAAATTAGTCTTAAAAGTGGTGCTTGAATTTGCAATGCGAATGTATAATTTTTCATAAAAAAATTCTTTGCGTCTAATAGCTCTAAGGAATTTCTGTGCATTCTATTTTTTCTTACCTCCATTATAGTTTGCTTTATTGTATACACACATACTTTTAATCTTTTACTTTAGTTTCATGTGCTGTACTATGGCTTCAGTTCTGCTCTGTTGTTTTGTTTTCCATTTGCTTTTGTTGTGATGGGGGGCCCTATCATCATAGATCATTTAGTGAACTGGATTGCTGAGCGCCTGTTGGGTAAAGTAAGGCTCTGCCCCAAGTGTGCATTTTCTTGCGCATTCATCAGATGTGGTGTCATATGTGCCAATTATTATATACACCTGTTGCACTTTTATCAGTATGACCCTTGAATTTTATTGGCCCATAACCACATGACGATATACCTAACCTACTTAGGTGCATGTTTTTTATTGGCTGACATAGTCGTTTGTGATTTGTTGTTTTTAAAG